AGGAAAAATCCTCCTTCCTGGGGAAATAAAATATAATCAAAGGACCCTTAAGGTTGTCTGCTATCTAATTTTAATTATATATATATATATATATATATATATATATATATATATATATATATATATATATATATTTGTACTCACTAATAATAACATTTATATTAATAGGAAATAATGTTGGATCAAAAATCCTTTCAACATTTTCTTTCTCTTTGCTTGTAATGAAGCAAAGTTACTATTTGCTGATAGAATGAAACAACGTATTGCATCTTTAATCTAAGGATTATTGCCAGCTCTCCAAGTGTGTGCTAAACAACAGTAAGTCCTCAATCCTTTCTCTATTCAATCAATTCAAAGTCCTAACATCCTCAGCTGATAAGGCTGAATGCTTTGCTCCGAAATTTTCATCCAACTCAACACTCAACTCATCTGGAGTACCCACACCCAATTTTTCCCCCTAGAACTGAGGCTCTATTGAATGAGATGAGTGTAGCAGATCCCCCAAGCGCCCACCCCCATATCTCAAAAGGGTGATGAGGTCACAAGACGCCCGCTAACATTTCGAAGACGTTAAATCTGAGAAGGTGAAACAACACAGACAACAGAACGAGGATATATAGGATATATACTAATTTATTCTAGAAAGAAATAACGAAATAAAGGTGGTCGGAAAGGTAGAGATGCAGACGTTGATGGTAGAGGTTGGTCATTGCAGATGATTGCTGCTGGTCGTCGTAGTTGAGGTTGCTGCTGGTCATTGTAGATGATCGCTGCTGGTAGGGATGCCAACTTGACGTGTCGGGAAGGAAAGAGGAGCTGGCGTTGCGATGTTGTTTGGGCATATAGAAAATCCAGTGCTGGCGTTGTGTATCTGCTGGTCAAGTCCGATATCGAAACCTCCTGTAGTTATTACAAAAGTAGTGTACAGGAAAGATTACGGATGACATGCAGGCAGCCAGTAGGGACAGAATGCCGAGAGTCAAACATGGGCAAGGAGCCAGAAGTAAAAGGCGAAGTAGAGAGAGAGGGAAAATTTTCCAACTATTATCAAGTTGGCAGACAAAAAAACATGGGAGCATAACTTAATATGCAGCCTGGTGGTCAATGTTCCTGGCCTCTGGCCAGGAGCCTGCGTACCGACCGCTTCAGTTGCCGACCCTGAATTCGGCGGGAAGTCACTGTAATATGGTAAGGGAGACTAGCAACAGAATTGGTAAGCTAATACAGTAGAATCTATCTAAAAAAATGAGTCTAGATGAGCTACAAGAAAATTAAGGCCTAAAAATGCTTAGAAGTATATTACAACTAGGTTCATAATATAACTAAAATGAAAAGGTAATTAGCTAGTCTCTACCATGTAATTAACAGTGTGTAGGGAGCGCAACCAAAAGGTCAAGGTCGAAATGACCTGTTCTCTTCCGGTTTAGGGAGCGGCCAAAGGCAGCCGCGATATGAGCATAACCCTGTCAATGGTATTGGACATCATCTCTAAATTAGACTCTCATAAAACAAGTGGTGGTGATGGGATACCAGCCATAGTCCTAAAGAAATGTGCTCCTGAGCTGGCTCCATTACTCTCCAAACTATATAGCTATTGCCTTGCTGATTCTTGCTTTCAATCCGGCTAGAAGTCCTCTTTTGTTCCAATTTTTAAGAACTCTGGAGACCCTTCTGACTACTATTCTGATAGTCTTCTACCACTCTTCAGCAAAGTCTTTGATGCTTTAATCAATGCAGAAGTGGTTAAGTATCTTACCTCCCATGATCTACTTTCTGACAAACAATATGGTTTTCACTTTGCCCAGTCTACTACTGATGTGCTTGCACCCATAACTGAATATGAAGCTCTTGATACTAACAGCAAAGTTTGAGCTGTGGCTCTCGACATATCTAAGGCGTTTATCAGGGTTTGGCATGCCAGCCTTCTATATAAGCTTCAAGGATAGGCTATTACAGGACAATTATTTGATTTGCTTCAATCATTGATGTCAAACTGTGAAATGAAGGTAGCCCTGAACAGATTCTCTTCTACCTCCTTTCATACGAATGCTGGTGTTCCCCAAGGCTCTATCCTGGGTCCTACAGTGTTTCTGATCTTCATCAATGATGTTCTTGATATCATCAGTTCCCAGGTAGGCCTATACACAGATGGCACTACCATTTACTCCTGTCTTAATAGTAAATCCAGTATTGCTGATAAAATTAACCTGGCCGTTGGTCTTGAAAAGGAGCTCTAATCTGTAGTTAACTGGGGCAGGAAATGCCTTGTAAATTTTTAATGCCTCTAAAAAAAAAAAGAAAAAAATAACTCTCTCATTTTCCCACCATAGAGAAACCTCCATGCCTCCTATCAGCATCGGCTCACTTTCACAAGAGCATCTCCCTGCACCTTCTTGGTCTCATGTTTTCCACTGACCTGAGGTAGATCAACTTAATTGAATCAATAGTTCATCTACTACAAGGAAATTTGGTTCTCTGTATTGTGCCAGAAGTTTTTTCTCATCTGAGTCTATCCTTCAAATCTACAAAACTTCCCTTCATCTTTTTCAATCAGTACTGTTGCCATATATGGTATGGTGCTCTTACTGTTCATCTCAAAGTTCTAAACAAAATTCAGAGATGGATATACAATGTGATCGTTCCTGACCTGGCAACTCGACTCCAGTCATTTTCTCGCAGAGGTGATGTGGCTTCCCTCCGATTTTCTAACAAATATTTTCATGGCAACTGCTCTGATGAGCTATTTTCATTGGTGCCCCGACTGCATGAATTTAAGCATTCTGCTGGGTTGGCATCTTCATTCTACCCTTTCACTGTCAAAACAGTTAAATGTAACCATCTCTTCTACTCCAAAAACAGCTTCTCTCACACTTCCTGACAGTGGAACTCCTTTCCTCTTACTTGCTTCAATGATAACTATAATCTTCAAATACTTAAATGTAATGTCAATCAACATCTTTTAATGCCTTGATCCCCGTTCTTCTTTTTATCCTTTCCACAATCCCCTCCCATATCCAGTCTTTTCTCATAATTTGACTTGGTAAATTCTTGCATACTAGAGGCACTCCCCACTCTTGCTTGGGGTGAAATACTTAAAAAATTTATATATCATTCACAGACAGTACTGTTTTGCTGTATCACAGCTCCTCAGTGCGACTAGACTTCTGAATGCCTCAAGCTAGGATTGAAACCCAACTAATTTGGTGTCAGAGCTTCTACCACTGAGCTATCTTCAGTCAGCCGAGTTACACAGTTAAATCTACTACTTTGTTTTTATGAATGTAAACAAATGCCAATCAGCCAAAGTTATACCCACATACCTTTGTTTATTTATAAAAGTCTACTTTTAAGTTCATAACAGGACCCAGGTATTCCCCAAGTCTATCAGACATGAGAAGTAAATGGGCCTTAATCTGTGATATTGGCCTGTGTATAAAATGCAGACACACAAGCATATATTTAACAGGAAATATATAGATGGATAATGATTGAATGAATGAGTGGGTGGGTGTAAGCTTCCTAAGCAACATTATCATCATAAAAAACGCTTATAAACGTGATAATACTGGTCAGTCTTACCTATTGTATTATAAATATTTCATTTTTTAGCTATTTTCATATAGTTGCCAATTATCATCATCTTAGATTTTGCCTTACCTTTTTCTTTTTTTGTTTATCATTCTGACATTATAATTTTCCAATCTGTTAATTACAAATGAATTGTTTCAATTTCTTGGATCATTTAAAAAGCAATACCTACTTCAAAAAGGTAAATCGGATTATATAAGAACCATTTCAATTATTTTTTCTTTAATTCTTTCATAGATTCAATGAGAGATGCATAAATTATTTGCTTATATCAGTTAAGATAAACCAATTTAAGTCCTGAAGCACAATCAATACAAAACAAGTAGGACACAATAGCAAACCATTCATCTAAAAACTGATATTCTAAACATTTTATTATTAGCTTAAGATTAATCTTTACTACATTACAATCTATTTATTGTTAGTGTATTGTATTATTATTGTTGAGTAATTTTCTATATATGATTGAATGCTAAAGATTTCTTACACTTACTTATTCAAAACATTCTCAAATTTGGTTATTTGGTAAGATTTTATGAAGTGAGTCGGTTTTGGAACTTTCCAACAGCTACTTTGTAACCATGTAATTTTACTTTATATTTTCTTTACAATTATTTACAAGGCTTAAGAGCCACTTGAGGTAGAAGGTTACAGTAAGAGGTACAGCTTATGAGGATATGTGGGGATGATAATTGTTAAACCTTGCTTTGAATAGATTAAGATTGTAGTAATCAGGGAAGCATCATCTTGGGAATTGGTTCCACAAAGCAGTGGTTCCTGGGAAGAAACTGCTTGAGTGGAACTTATATCTCAACAATCTCTTTGTCTCTTTCTAAGTACAAGTATCCTTTTTGTTTCTGTTTCCAGAAGCTTTCAGCACCCATTTATATGTTTTATACTAAGCACTTTATGTAGACTACTGCTTTTTATATGCCATAAAATTGCAATCATGACTCTCCCCAACTTCCTGTCTCCTTTTTGCTCTAAGCAACATTAGATTGCTTACCATCTTTCTTTTTTCATTCATTTGTCCCACCTTTCTCCCTATACTCATTGGAAATTAATCAATTCCCTATTAAAAGAAATACAAGAAAACAGAGCTACACAAACACTTTACATTTACAGTATGCAAATTGTTAGATTTTGAAAGCAAACTTGTTTTTTTTTTTTTCTGATTGATTGATTTGTTTTCTACATTGCAGTTTATTCAAAGCCAGAAATATTTTTAAAAGTTCTTTTTTTTTTGCAGATAATGATTTAGTGATACAAATCTTACTAATTAACCCATAGCTGGAGGAAGAGAGGTGAATTCATACTTTTTCAAAGTAAGTGAACATAATGACCCCAACTGAAATTGAAACTTAGCTGTCCGATTAACAATTCTGACCCTTTATCCATTAAACCAACCAGACATCCAGCACCTGGTATTCCCAAGTGGTCACTCATCCAGGTACTGACCAGGCACAGTGTTGCTTAACTTCAGTGATCATACAGAAACCAATGTTTCAACCAATGGACATAAGCCTAAACTTGTTGTTTTTATAGCAAAGTGGAACAATCTCATATCAAATATCCTCAAGATAAAATTAGCACTTTACATGAGTGCACAATTTATTAAAGTAGGAAATGAATCCACTCTATCTAGGTCAGATTGACCTAGATATAAATTTAATATTATGTGTTCTAACTGGCTATTGAGAGAAAAAAGATTTCCATTGCAAGGCCATATATATATATATATATATATATATATATATATATATATATACACACACACACACACACACGCACACACAATGATGTTCACCATCTACAGTCAATGTACATGTGCCTGAGCACGTGTTTACTACAGGGATTGGCTGGTGTGCTTGGAAAATGAGTAGCCAGTAATTATTCTGTTTATAATTCATTCAATTCTAGAAATTGATTCCAATAATCAATCAAAATAATATTTTAGTTGTGTAACTTGCCATCTTTTGTCATTATTTTAAAAATAATTTAAAAGATATGACCGAGAAAAGAACATTTCGAGGTGACTCTTATGAGCAATATTGTATTGCTCTCTGATTATATACCATTCCTTCATTCAAATAGACTTAATTCTAGACTAGTCTTAAACCATTCCCGGATTTTTTATCACTACCCCCACTTATTACAACCCCACCTTTTATTCAAGACCCAAGAATAATTCTTCAATTTTTAAACAAAGGGTAAAAAGAGGCTGAGAAATTGCCAAGCCAACTGTTTTGTTTGTATTGTCTGTAGCTCACTATAAAATTACATGGACTTTTGCTTCTAGAGTAGAGGACATTTTAAAGAATTTGTTGTTTAAAAATGCTTGGATGCATCAGGAATATCAATTGATCAGTTATTTGGAAAAAAGAAAAAAAAAAACACCATTTTCAGGAAATGCAGAATTTGATGCCATGCAACTTAAAAATTAAAATATGTGAGATCCTGGACAATACTAATTAGTTATCCTGAATTCGTCATTTTTCTATCATGAATCATACTGTATATGTTTGTGCCAGTTTTGTTCATGAAAAATGTGAAAACCAAGATTTACTTCAGATTGTGAATGCCGCTTAGATTTGTATAAGAGAAAACAGGTAAAGATTTTGCTTTAAAAGATAATGAAAAAAATCCGCTAAGTCAACAAGATGTTCATTTTTTAGAAAGTCTTCTTTCATTGCATTGATTCTTGTTTGAAATTTATTTAATTCATAGCTAAGTAGATATATCTGTAGATATGAAGAAGCAGAAATATAGATGGACAGACATGTACAAATTTTTACATACATGTATGTTGACTAGGCTTAGTTTTGTCTACTACCATTCTAGGTCTTGTGAAAAACTTTAGGAAGACTACATTGCAAAAATCTTCAAAGTTGGGAAAGTTTGCTTCCTTAATCAGTATCAGAATCTTGCATTTACATTGAACTCAGGCACTGACCATTGGTAATAGTAATAGTATTTTACAAACACTAACAAATATATTTTTCATCCCTGGAATCTCGTCTCCAATCACTTTCCCCACAGCAATAATGGAGCGTCCTTGTGACTTTTCTATAAATATTCTTTCATTTTTTTCTCTTGAGGAATGGTGGAGAAAAAAAGATATGTTATTTCTCCACACAGTATACAAATGCCCTAAGCTGATAACTATCAAACCAAAAGAAACTTTTCTCAAATGGAAGTCTCTCAGTATTTTCATGAGGAATTTATCAAGACTTTCATATGCATATCATTCATTGCCCCAAACTTGTTCAGAAATATCTAAACTATCAGCTGTATGCTACTGCTGTCTCAGATTGATTGTTAAAAGTAATGTCGGTCTTAGAGATGATGAGCTTTCTTTGAATGTTGTGGACTGATGCTATAAAGTCACATACAAAGAATTGTACCAAATAAAAGAAACCATGTCACTTGAGAACTTTCAACAGTAGCAACAACTGAAATGGATAGCACATGTAACTTGTGAAAATAATAACATAATCAAGATGTTTACATTCTACATTATATGAAACAAAAGGTTAGAAAGGAAACCTCCCAATCAATACTGGAAAGATCAATAATAGTGGACTAGAGAAACTTATTTTACTGCCAAATTGTTCTAAGAGAAAGATTTTATAAATTTCAATTAACAATAGCACTACCTGCTCATTCAATTGATGGTAAATGATTCCTTAAAATGAAACTGCTAATATTACCACATTGTTATATATATATATATATATATTTGAACTGTGACTTGATACCACAAAATTTTATTAAAACCTTAAATAGCACTGATGAAACACATTAATAATAAAATAGGCAAATATCTAAGGTAACTTTTGGCTAACCCTTCATCAGATTGTTGAAAACACTTTTAGGGAATGACTAGAACAAATTGGCACATGATTAAAATATAAAACTCATCTTCAATTAAATTTAGAAGCAAATTTTTTAAATTAAAACTGCATAAAATTGCTTACAAACCTGGAGAAGTACCAGGAAATAGACAGAAAAATCATTAGTGTTCTCTTAAAAAGAAGCTCTCGTTTTACCTGCCCAGGGTGGATCTTTTATGTTTGATTTTAATTGTTTCAACAATTCTGAGCATGTGTTGAGAATGTACCCTGTGTAAAATGTCAAACCAATTTTCCTGATATTTACCTGCACACACTGAATCAATTGCTGGACAATAGAATCTGAAGTCGACCTTATCACTTGTGTTAAACTATGCAACTTCTCCCATCTTATATAAACTGGTACATGCTGGCAGATTCTTGTAACCAGACAGAGCCTGGTTCAGTTTATATAGTCGGTATCTCACTGACATTTAAAATAGTACACCACAGTGCGATTTGAAAAGGTATGAACCTTGTCCTTCCAACCTTTCAGAAAAAGGAAAACAACTTGTGTTTTTGTGCCCCCTCCCCTAAATAGCACACAAAGATGTAAAGGCTAATCTGGTCAAACAAAGATTAACTGTTTTTACTTATCCAAAAGATGTTTTCTAAATAAATGGAACATTTGTTAGGACCATGCCTAGTAAAATTAAATTTTAAAATTTTACACGCAAAGACCCACATGAGGAAATCCTCTGAATAACCATTGTCCAAAACAATGATTCTGAACTGCCATGCTACAAAATATTGTCATAGCATACATATGTGTGTGTGGGGGGGTGTAGAAGTAGTAATGGTACAGTATTAGTATTTGCATAAATGAATAAGTATTAAACTTTTTTCAAATAATTCTTTTTAATATTCTTGATACATTTAGGATTACAATACAAAAGGAATATTCCACATTAGCTAAAAAGCCTTAATCAGTTTTATTGCAATTTTCTACTTCTTATTTATATGAATTAGGCTTCTCAACCCTAAATAAACATAAAAATATAAAAAGTGAGAAAGACTACACTCAACTGTAGAAGAAATGAGTGTCCGCTTATCATACATTTGACCAAACACTGAAGCAATTGTGAAAAAACACCAGGTATAGGTTTCAGACTAAGATGCACAAATAGTTGAATAGAAACACTGAAATAAAGTAAGTTCATATTTATGTGTGTATTTAAAAAAAATCTATGGTTTTATTTCATGACATTTAAATGTATATACTTTAAAAAAAAAAAAAAAAAAAAAAAAGTGTGCCATGATATTTTCATTTGGTCCTTGTTCCCTTTCTTAAAAAAGCTGAGAAACACTGGTTCAAATAAATACACTTGATCCTTCAACTTTTTAGCAGAGCAAATCATCAGAGAATGATGTACCAATGTTTTTAACAAATTAATTTTTCTACTTTGTGGTACAAATGATTTCCAATCTGTGTTTAGACATAAAACTTAGATTTGCAATAGACACTTGTAAGAAATGTATTGCCAAGTCTTTAAATATACAAAGTGAGACAAGAGTCAGACACCATAAGAGTTAATGGATAGGTTGAAAAGGTCCTGCTGAGTGGCCACCCATAACCTCACACTGAGTGGTCACCAGACCTCACACCTTTGGATTTTTTTCTGCGGGGCCATTATCAGACACACCCAAGAAATATTGAGAAACTTAAAAGAATTAAATATGAATGTTGTAAAATGACAGCGGAAACTATTGTTATTGAATCATGCATGCACATAATTGAAATGTCTTTTGAAAAAGGAGGAAGACATTTTAAACAGCACATATAAAAATTAAATAACTAATAAATAAAATTTTCATATGTACTTATACTTTTATATGTGTGTGTGTGTGTGTGTGTGTGTGTAAGTTTCATTAAAGCAGCAAAAGTTTTTTTTTTAAATTCTGATTATTTATCCTTTCAACATTTCTAATAATTTTTCTGTGGGTAGCATGGGTTGGTCAGTCAATGAATGTAGAATGTTTCCTTATAAGGAAATAGCTAATATTACTGTTAGAGATGAGTAGAACAGATATTGCACTTTAACCTCAGCCTGATGGTCAGAGTTTGAAGAAAGGTTGTAACACAAATTGTACATTGTGCTCAGTCAATGAATGCAGAATGTTTCCTTATAAAGAAATGGTTAATCTTACTATTATCATACATATAAATAAGAACATTTCTTTACCACTTCATATTCTTCCTATTTAGTTTGCCAAGGCAATAAATGTTTTTAAGTGCACAATATTTTCTGTTATTTCATTCATATTTCCCATTCAAGAAGACTTCTGCATCAACCATACATATACATTTTATGAACTAATATCACTAAAATGGTAACTCCATTACAATTACACCGAGAAAGTTTACTATGAGGCCCTGCCAAATGAAGGGAAGTTTGATGAATACCAACTCCAATGTGGTTATTGAAAACAGAAAGTATATTTAGCTCCTGAAAAATACAGGATAGGTCAAATGTCATTATTGTCAAGACCAGAGTTTATGCCCAATAATACACGGAGCTGAACTTTAGTTCATTTACACAAGATTTGTTCCAGTACTTAAGGACAAAACCATGAAAATATCAAGAAAGGAAAAAATGTTTTAAATTAGAAATATCTTGC